TCCTCCTCCTCCTCCTCCTCCTCCTCCTCCTCCTCCTCCTCCTCCTCTCCACAAATCCTACTTCCTTCTAGCCCTGATGATGTTACCAACTTGGGTCTGGAAACATTGCAAGAAAATAACCAAGCTCAGATAGCACCAAGAATTCCATAGTCCCCCTTCTCCTTCTTCTCTTTCTCCTTCTCTTTCTCCTCCTCCTCCTCCTTCACTTTCTCTTTCTCCTCCTCCTTCTCTTTCTCCTCCTCCTCCTCCCTGCAAACCCAATTCCCTTCTTGCACTGATGATGTTCCCTACTTGGGTCATGAAACATCTGCAAGAAAGGAATCAAGCTCAGGGAGGATCGAGAGTCGCACAGTTTAATCCTGAGTTATTAACATTTTCTTCTATCAGAGCATTCAATAATGTTGAGCTACACGCACACACACACACACACCCCTCTGCCTTCAAGAAGAAGCCACAGAGCAGGCTCACCTGGGTTACTTTGGCTTCCAAAATGGCCATCTTCCAGGCTCTGTGGACAAAAACAGAAAAACCAGGTGAGCCCGCTTGTCTCTGCCAAAGGGAAAGTGATGGTTTTTTTTTAAAACCCCTCATATCAGCTCCTTTCATAGCAGTTCCTGCAAGAATAAAACTATGGGAATCTTGCAGGGGGTTGGTCCAAGATCGGCAACTGACTCACACTTATGACGGTTGCTGTGTCCCAGGATCCCTTTTCATGACCTCCTACCAAGCAAAGTCCACGGGGAAGATGGATTCGCTTAACGACCGTGTCACTAACTTAACAGCCGCAGTGATTCACTGAACCATGGTGGCAAGGAAGGTCGTAAAATGAGGCAAATTCCTCTTAACAACGGTCTCCCTTAGCGACATAAAATTGAGCTCAAGTGGGATCGCAAGCCGAGGATTAACCTGTATTCTGGAGCAGTGTTTCTCACCGCTGGCAATTTGAAAAAGTGAGGATGTCAATTCCCAGAATTCCCCTGCCAGCATAGCAGAGCATCAATAGCACAGCTGGCTGGAGAATTCTGGGAATTGAAGTCCACGCATCTTCAAAACCGCCAAGGTTGAGAAACACTCGTAGAGAGTCTCCTGCTTTTGAGCAGGGAGTGAGACTAGCTGACCTCCAAGGTCCCTTCCAGCTTTAGGGTTCTATGTAAGTCTTATCCATTGCAGCCGTTTTTCTATGGGTGGAATCCATGACAGTCCCACCAGCAGGAATCTTAAGTTGGAAACCCCTGGGCTGGTGAAGCTCTGCATTAAGAGTTGAAAGTGTTCCTCAGATTAACTGATTAACAGAGTTGGAAGGGACCTTGTGGGTCATCTAGTCCAACCCCACCACCCAAGCAGGAGACCCTACACCATTTCTGACAGATGTGAGTCCAGTCTCTTCTTAAAAGCTTCCAGGGATGAAGCTCCCACAACTTCTGAAGGCAACTTCTGTTCCATGGGTTGATTGTTTCTCACTGTCAGAAAGTTTCTCCTTGTTTCCAGGTTGAATGTCTCTTTGGATCAGTTTTCATCCATTATTCCTTGTCTGGCTTTTGGCTGCCTTGGAGAATAACTTGACCCCCTCCTCTCTGGGCAGCCCCTTAAATGTTGGAAGATGCTCTCCTGTCTCCCCTGGTCCTTCTCCTCCCTAGACTAGCCAGGCCCAGTTCCTGCAACCGTCCATTGTATGTTTTAGTCTCCAGTCCCCTAAAATCATCCTGGTTGCTCTTCTCTGCACTTTTTCTAGAGTCTCAACATCTTTTTCATAGTGTGGTGACCAAAACTGGATGCAGGACTCTAGGCGTGGTCCTTACTAAGGCTTTATCCAGTGCTTTGCCAAACAGGAGGGGGGAATGTAAAGATCTTTCTATCAACTTTTGCTCAAGCTGGGAACTCTCCTAGAGGGAGATTATCTTGATCCTGGCTTCATCGTGACCTCAAGGTCACCGAAGGCTTTCAAATCACCTTGAGTCCTAGGTCTAAGCAGGATTAGCCCAGAGGTCACCCTCCTGCCACCTCTCGTTAGCCCTGGAGGGGGATCAGCGTGCCAAGATGTCTGTTGCTGCAGAGATTGTCTAACGAAGGGACCCATTTGAAGTCATCCCCTCTTGAGCTGGTGGTCAGCCTTGCCAGGTATTTTTCTTTCAGGTATCATGCAGCACGTTCACATCATATAGGGAAAATAGGATCAGTTTATTGTCCAAAGCACCAGATGGGAGGTCAAGAAGCCATGGATGGAAACTCATCAAGGAGAGAAGCAACCTGGAATTTAGGAGGAATTTGCTAACAGTGAGGACAATTAACCAGTGGAACAGCTGGCCACCAGAAGTCGTGGGCGCTCCATCACGGGAGGTTTTTAAGAAGAGACTGGACAGCCATTTGTCTAAAATAGTATAAGGTCTCCTGCCTGAGGAAGGGGTTAGACTAGAAGACCTCCAAGGTCCCTTCCAGCTCTGTTATATTTCAGTAAAAAGGAGTAAAATATAAAACAGAATATAAAATCTGAAATCTTAGAAGATTACAGATGTTTATCTGAGTTGCAAATACACGTAGTCTTCAGCTTGAATTGAACCCAAAATTTCTGTTGCTAAACGAAACAGTGAAGTGAATTTCACCCATTTTATAATCTCTGTGGCTAAATGAACCCACAAGGGCACGAACCCTGTGCCATGCTAAACAAACATCCAGTCCTTAGAATATATTATTATTCCTATTCCTCTTATTACAAGTAGTTCTCAACTTACAGCCATTCATTTAGTGACTGTTTGAAGTTGCAACTGCACTTAAAAAGTAATTTAGGACCATTTTTCATACTTAATGACCGTTCCAGCATCCCCACAGTCACCATGATCAAAATTTGGACGCTTGGCAACTGGCATCTATTTATGACAATTGCACTGCCCCGGCGGGGTCAAGTGATGGGACCTTCTGGCAAGCAAAGTCAATGGAGAAGCCAGATTCAATTTACAACCCTGTAACTAACTTTAAAACTGCGTTGATTCACTTAACAACCAAGAAAGGTCATAAAATGGGACAAAACTCATTTAACAGCGCCTTGCTTAGCAACAGAAATTTTGGGTCAATTGTGGACGTACATGGAGGGCTACCCATAATCGGGTGAGATTCAAATTTCTTAACAACAGGTTTTGTGGGTGTGGTTTGGTAGTCATGTGACTGGCTGGGCATGGCTTGTATGTAAATATTGTAAATATTTATGTAAATATTGATATATATTTTTTTAAAGAGAGCAACTTTTACCCAAAATCAGGCAAAGCAGGCAGGCAGATTGAGTTGCTCGCAGAATCACAGATTCATTCAGAGATCTACCTTTCTGCCATCTGCTACCTGAGTCTGCACTGAAAAATAGAAGCTTCGGCCCTAAGGAAGGTTCAGCTCTGCTTTAAGATTAGCTAGAAAGCAAGAAATCCAAGGATTTCCTGCTTTCTAGCTAATCTAAACCTCCTGGCACAGAAAAACAGCTGATGGTCAGTGGGGGGAAAAATGGAAAAATAGCAAGTTAGCAGGCAAGTTTGATGGTGAGCATGTCGGGTAAGGAGTGAGCCAGTGGTACGATTTGCCGGTTCTCCGAACTGGGCAGAATCGTAACAACCGGTTCTATAGAACCGGTCCGGCCAGGTAGAATCCCACCCCTGCCCGTAACGGTTCTGTTAAAAGTTTTCACATTTTTCCCACACAAAAGTCATGCCATTCCACAGAGAGTCCCAACTCCAGCCCTTCAATCCTCTCCATCCTTTTTTAGGAGAGGTTTAATCTGGAGATCTTCCCTACTATACCTTTTCCGGAAATGTAAGATCACTCTGTGGTGGATAATTTCCAGCCTGGATGAAACCAGAAATCGGGAAGGCTCTTTTCCCTCTGGTTTGTAATAAGCCCAAACCACGAGATGGAAAAAAAATTTCAAAATTTTTTCAAAATGTCCTCCCTGCGGAGAGCTTTGTGTCCCCAACAGGAGCTCCCAAAAGGTGCAGTCGGCGTAAACAACCAAAATAAATAACGTTTAGATCATGGGTGTCCAACCTTGGCAACTTTAAGACTTGTGGACTTCAACTCCCAGAATTCCTCAGCCAGCAAAGCTGGCTGAGGAATTCTGGGAGTTGAAGTCCACAAGTCT